GAGCCATGTGACGTGTCAGTCGCTCTTAGTTGTGGCGCTGTTGAATTCAAACTTCCGTGGATGCCGCTGGCAAAAGTATCTATGCACTCTGAACGAATACTTCCTTGAAAACATTATCGTGAATCACACGAGAGTGGGGAGATGACGTCTGTTTCGTTTGGGTCACATTAGACTAATGAGCTTACCTATTTTTTTTTTCATATTTTCTCTTGCTTAGACTATCGGGAATCGAAAAAAAAAAAAAAAATGTGTAGCAGAACATATGTAACCGAACTCACCGGTTGTCCGCTGCCAATCGAGAACACGTTGCAGATGTTGCCGCCTAAAGTGCCTTTCGCAGCTCTCTCCCTGGCGTGCTTCCCTCGATCCACCTTCCTCCTCGCGGTACCCGCTGCAGCAGCAGGTGGGTGCTGAGAAGGTGCAGCAGCACCTCGTGCGCTGCTGGCATCTTGTTGGGATGACAAGGACAGGCGGGTGCTGCTGGTAATGCCCTGGATTTCACCATCAATCTGCGCGATCCACTCTCCTTCGTCGAAGATACCGTTCTGCTTCAACCCCCACGCGCTCTCGATGGCGTCCCATCGCTCCTTCGCAACGGAGTTTCCCGCCTTCACATGTATTCTTTTCGTCTCGAAGTGACGGTCAAGAATCAGACCCCGTCCTTTCAACTCTGCAAGTTTGCCAAGATCTTTCAACAACCCATGGGATAAGGGATTGGACAGGGACATGATCCCCTGTGGACGGCAGGAAACTCGTGGTCCGCTGCACGTGCGTGGCCTGGCAGCCGCCAAGGGGGCGCGAAGTTTACAGTGCCCACCCTCTCCTCTGCAAAAATTGCAGATTCCGAGGTGTATGTATGCACCCACGTTCGGCACACCTACCCCCCTGCGAAATCCAATACTTGGATCACCCCCCCGCCCGTCCCCCCCTCCCCGTTCGAATGTTCTTATCTCGCAGCTGCTGAATGTGCTCTTGTTCTTATCTTTAGCAGCAGTGGTATACCTCGGCGTGCGTTCTTATTCTTAACTGCAGGTGCAATCTGAGCACGTGTTCTTACCGGCAAATTAATTTTTGTTTTTTTTTAACACCATATTCTCAAGTGCCATGTTCTTAAGTGCGGGCCTCAACTGTAGCAAACAACCTTCCGTAAGTACTACCAAACGCAGACACCAAGCTGGTGCGGTATTGGCGTCTGGAGCTGACTGAAAAAGAGCAAGATGGCCAGCTAGCAAACATGAACAAGTCATTGTCGTGAGATGCGGTCGATTCGGATTGGTACGCATATACATCATTTGTTGAACGAGCATCAAAGAGGAAAGCCCGGGAGTGAACTCAATATACCAGAGCACTCTAGAGCTAGACACGCTGCGATGAAGCGAGTGTCGGGGCGCGTACCCTCTCGCCCGTTGTGAGAGGTACTAAATGGGCCATGATGTAATTCATGAATGAAAATTGTGCATCATAGCCACGCACCATGTGCAGCCTCTCTCACCTCTAGAGAAAATTTTTGCCCGGGCCACAGTACCTCGGTCTCAGAGAACCATCCATCCTTGATACTCATGGTCTGTGCCGGGTTTGAATAGGGAGCAGCGCGGTAGTGGTGATACAGCAGTGATACGGGTGCATATGTACAATGGCACAATGGAACTGCACGGAAGTCCTTGGTTCCGCCGCATCTGGCGTCGTCGGGATGAAAAAAAAAAATGATTCATTGCCAATAATCTACATGTATGTATTATTATTATTATTTTGTTTGCCCTCCGACAACTGTAGATAAATGCAGACATACATAAAAAGTCGATCGTAAAGGCCGTCATGCCAAGCCAAATTAACTCGATGGCCAATAGCTAGGAATGTTTGCCTCTAAGTCAATAAAACTTTGGTTGAAACACTACAGCTGAACTCTAGGCACGAACCTTTCTTAGATGGAGAAAAACGAACAAAACCCCAACCTCATCCACCCGAAATCAAACAAAAAACTCGGCCCCGTCTTCCCTGGTGCCCCTGACACCGTATCGAACAGAAATCCGTATATGTATCATCTTAGACTCATTTCTTCGATATATTTAGAGATGGATTCGAAAAATAAGTGCACGCAAAAAAAGACTACCCATTCCAGATATACCCACAGTCGAACGGGATGTATGTGGTGGAGGATGGAGGCTTCTCAGTGAGTGGAGGAAAACCGTTTGATTGATGGGTACTGGACTTGTTTCGAGTCTTTTTTGGTCTGATGATTTCTATCATCAGTAATGCTTATTATAATGAATTACATCATCAACCATCGCAGTCAGTGATGCCAGCTGGGGTGCCAAGTACAAAAACATCTGTATAAATAGATCACTTGGACTACATTTTCATATTGATTGATGAAATATTGCAAGATACGCATGAAGATTATTGTATCTATGTATGTGCGGAGATAATATTTACACACTACACACGTGTTACACTACTAAATATAGCTGTAGACTGTTAGTGTAGCCTTGAACTTCGAACCCACAGGGGAATACCAGTATATATCATTGCATGCTACCCGGGGATCATCAGTATGCACAGGTAGTAGGTACTACGTGCTGTAGGTCATGATATCATTGTGCTTTTCAACAAACTCAATGATGCATTACTATTTTTTTTTTTTTTGCCTTCCGACAATTGCAGATGTACCTCAGAAAACTTTCACTTAATGTCTCATACTCTACATGAATATTAAACCAATACGAAGTACAACGACATATGTAGGACTTATTTCTACTGTCATTTACATCGTAAAAACATCTCCTCTTCAACTTGAAATAAAACCAATGACAATCCTGATGGTATCCTATATGCGTTCGTAAGCTTGCTAAAATACTACTGCGTTGATGTCCTCTTGTAAAAGCTGAAATCCAACAAATGCTTTGATCCATGCTACATCTCCGTGTTGGAAAAGCCCTTTCATCTCCGTTCATGATAACATCTTACCCTATTCTACGCAAATCTGTCACATCTACTCTCAAACAAGACGCCAACTTCAAACGAAAACGCGTTCTACGATGCGTCTACACTCCATCCCCATATCATTGGCGTTGACTGGTCCGAGGTCGATCTTGTTCGCCTGTTTTCGGCGTCTTGACGCCCGCGCAATGCGAGCTTGTACCTCTGCACTCGCCGAGATATGGCCACCTGTGTAGCCACCGAAACGATCTGAAGAAGTCGTTCCTTGAAGACTCCTTTCAGAGCCATCGTTCCTCCGTCCCTTCCTCCCACGGCATGTGTCGCAAGTTCATCGATGAACTCGTAACCCTCCTCTCCAAGGCGGCCAAAGCTTTCCACGGCTAAGGATACACTCACTCCTTGACTCGTATCTACACTCACTCCTGTAGCTAGTATCATCATATCTGCCGCGGATAGATAGAGATGCGATGCCGTCCTCCAGCAAGGACAGTCCGCCCTCCTCCTGTCCTCCTCTGGTCCCGACGCGCTGCTGATATTATTACTATTGTAGTAAGAGGTTTTGTGTCCCATGATCAAGTCACTCCTCCTCCGGGCTTGCGCGCTCAGAGGTCAGGCCATTATTTGGAGAAAGCGAGAGGTTCCCGGAGACGTATGGATGCGTCTGCCATGTCCTTCTTGAACTATTTTTTCTGAAAACTCCCCCAGACTACACCACCGGTACTTATCAATCTGCACAAACTTTGCCGTTATAAATAGCACCGTTCGTCGTCGAGGGAAAGGGACGGCTGGACCCTTCTTTCTCGCGATAAAAAACATAATTCAGCAAGTACCGCAGGAGGAAGGTGGGGCACGACAATAAAAATATTGGTGGTGACCTCGAACCAGTCAACGCCAATGATATGGGGATGGAGTCTAGACGCATCGTAGAACGCGTTTTCGCTTGAAGTTGGCGTCTTGTTTGAGAGTAGATGTGACAGATTTGCGTAGAATAGGGTAAGATATTATCATGAACGGAGAAGAAAGGGCTTTTCCAACACGGAGATGTAGCATGGATCAAAGCATTTGTTGGATTTCAGCTTTTACAAGAAGAGGACGTCAATGCAGTAAGTAGTATGTTAGCAAGCTTACGAACGCATATAGGATACCATCAGGATTGTCATTGGTTTTATTTCAAGTTGAAGAGGAGATATTTTTACGATGTAAGTGACAGTAGAAATAAGTCCTACATATGTTGTTGTACTTCGTATTGGTTCAATATTCATGTAGAGTATGAGACATTAAGTGACAGTTTTCTGAGGTACATCTGCAAATGTCATTGTCGGAAGGCAAAAAATAAATAAACAAGTAAATACAAATAAAAAGGAGAACTAAGCCCCGCCCGGTGTTTGCAGACGACGCCAAATCATCATGTGGGGATTACACGCGTAGCGATCCCTGAAGACCCTGATGAAGACTCACTTGGATATTAATCTCTTGGAACAGCAGTGCTTGCTGTTGCCTTGCTCTCTAAGGGACGACATGTATGTATGTTCCCTCTAGAAGGTGCCACAACGAAAGGTCCTGTCCCCTGTTAGATCCTTCTATCGGGAGTTACATCTCCCGCACTTTCCTCTGGGAATTACTACGCAATATAATACCGTTGACGCTGGCTACAACTAACTCAAATCCCATTATTACACTTACTTCTGTGTGACCCTGGATGGTTTTAGTTACGAAGAGCGAAAAAATACACACCCAAAAGTGCACTCTACATGTATGTACCCATCGCAAAGTGTAGTACACGTCTCTCACCCCACGAAAAATGGGGGGACTGTCCCCTAGAGTAAGTTAGTACTTCGATTACACAAGACATGCTACTGCCATACTTTATTGCTTACTTTGCGTCGAGTCCCAATTCCTAGATACAGCAGGCAGGCGGGGTGTGTGAATAAGGCGGTAACCCGATATAAGGCGGCCGAAATTCGCCCCCACAACTCAGACGCTGCGTGAGGCGGTCAAACCGGGTCGGGCCCTGTATAAGGTGGTAACCACTGTAGTACAGTTAACGCCCGCAATTAAAAAACGCTTATTTCAGTTCCAGCCTCGAATCTTTATGTTTGTGGGCAATAAACTCAGCGTAGTCTTTCAAATCCTGCTGAATTTCTTAAATCGCCAATTTCTAATTTTCCCTGCTGCTTGCTTACCACATTACACAACGAACGTTCAAAATATACAAATGATCTGCCCTCACGAGAGCTGGTGGAGAGCACCATGAAAACCGTACAGCAGACAGTATATCGTGGTTCGCAGCCTGTCTGGTGTGCTGTGCCAGAGCACCAGAGCCGGCAGGGGGCCGGAGGGGGCGCCGCAAAACAAACACACTCCCCCCTCGTCGTACAACTAATATTGCACTATGGGAGGGGAGGGGGGAAAGAGCGAGAGATAGGAGGAGCTGTGGGGGTGTTTCTGATTGGACGCCCCCCCCCGTAACCCCTCGTTTCTTATGTAGTAGGGCAGCGGTCGCCGCTGTTTCTTATAGAGGCATTTCTTGGTTGTGTGACCCAGACAGTTTTTCGTGCAAGAGTGAGCCTCAATTTCATAAAAAAATTCAATTGCGGGCGCTTAACTGTATCTATATCTCAAACCCGATGTACGGTCATCCTTTATGAAGCACCTGTTCCTCTCGGACATCAAGACAGTCACCCGCACTGCAACGCAACACAGAAAGCGATATTTTTTCATGTTCGATGTTGTTTGCATGATCCTTGAGACACCCCCCTCTCCCAGTCCTGTTCCCTTCACCAGCAGGATAAGCATTTTCGAGTGCCAGGGGCAAGCCTGTCTTTAGGGCTGAACAGCAGTAGATCAATCAAGATCCACATAATTGCACCGCTGAACCTTATATCTTGGCGATGTGCCATGCGGTCTACACCTAGGCGGTATCGCAGCCGCGCTTCCCTCCGGGTTATTGCGAACGAGGGCAAGGAGATTGACCACATAGAGGGAGCTATGCGCATCTTTGAGGCAATGAGGCTACCCCATTCCTGACGCTGACTCGAAATATAGCGAAGCGTTGGAAGGAGTGCGGGGATGGGTCGAGGAGGTTGAGGATAAGGCATGGGGGAAAAGAAACCGACACCTTAAACTCTTTGTCCGTCTTGATGTTTGACCCTCTTTGCTTCCAAGGTAGACTGAGCGAGAGGTGACACCGAACACGTTTGCCACAGTAAAAAGCTTCCCACATACCGGTAGGTTGGAGCGCACGGCAGACCGAAGGTTTCTTCCACGCTTTCGAACTTTCACTCTTTTGCTCGTCGAATAATGAGTGTTTCGAGGATGGCGCAGGCTGTTGTTCGGCTTACTGAGTGTTCTGGCAGTTGGCTCATCTAACGGGAAATTAAGAAGGTCGGGAATCCCATCTCACTAAAAAGGTGTGCAGCGAGAGGCTTTTGAGGGTTCTTTGGTTTGACTACCCGCATGTACCCCCCCCCGGTGCTGACTGAGGCGGCCAATCGTATATTGGGGGCCCACTCTCCTGCCTCCCAGCGTGACCTGTCTCTCAGGGAAACAATCCGCAACACACCCGGTGAAGTTCGATCTCCAGGCATACGCCTTGTTAGTTTATCCGCCAACCTATATATTAGCCCACTCAGTCAGCCTACTGAACCGGCTCATAGTGGGTGTGCTGGTCCAACCCTCCGCCTGTCACTTTCTAACGCTTACGCTTTCTCAGGTAGAACGATCGACGACAAATCCGGTGAGATCCGAACTCCCATCACACCTATTGTTCGTTAGACGGGCTCGCTGACTGGATCGTGGAGTAGGTTAGGCCTCCAATGAACACCTACATACGTGTAGATCGTCTTGCAGAATATCGTCCAAACAATGCTCCTGAACTACACGCAGTGTAGACCTAACTACCGCTTTCAGGTACCGCGGCAGCAGCCGACAACGTATGACACCACTGCAAACAATGGGAAAGCGAAGCTAGGTCGACTCGTTCTCTAGCTCTTGGAGTAGACCTTGGCGTACGAGATGTTCCACGTCAGATCGCCGCAACAGGTGGGTTGTTCCACGGTCAAGCTTTACAGATCCCTGCACAAAAAAAAAACAAGTGTGACATGAGCAAATGCGTGGTGGCTACCTTGTGCAGCATTGCATCGTAGCAGCTCTGTAACACGCCACCTCCCTCGCGGCATGGGCACCGCTCACAAACAATACGTCGCTCTACAGACGAAACATTCGGGTCTCACGTGATCTGTCATTATTTCCCCGCAGTCGCTCAGAACCCTGACCTCCACGTGCAACTCCTTCGGCGGTTGAAGATCTGCTGTGAGATCCAAATTCAGACCCTGTGAGAACAAAGTATACCGGGTATAGGAGCTCCTTCAGGGTGCACACAGGCAATAGTCAAGGCCTTCAAAATTTGGAGAGCAGAAGTACCAAACAACTTTCATGTGGAAGCCTTGAACGAAATCCTGCCCGAAACATACTGTAGCGACGCAAAAAAAAAACTAGAATTAGAAAAAGCCGCAGCAACCGAGCTCCGAAGGCGGTAGGAGAATGAGTGAGTAGACCCGTTCTCACGGCGGGATACCCTTCCTCGTCAAAAATCTCCCGCGATTTCGGATTTCGGAAGCTGAGCAACATCATCAGCACCTTCGGGGCCAGCTCGCACACGCGGCATGCTGGTGCCAGCGTTTGGTTGGCAGATGGCTAACTACAGAAGGCGTGGTTCACTTCAGGTGTGCGCGTAGAACCGCGAACCAAACAATCGTATCCTTGATTTCAAAGCAAAATCAGCACATACTCGAAGACAAGAGACGAACATTTCCCCACCTGTGTAAAGTTCGTAAGAATTCGATCGTACGTGTTGAACAGTTCCATCTCTCTGGCGCTCAAGCTTTGCTGCAGTTCTTGTGGAACAACAGGTCCTGTTTCCCACCGTAATTGGGTGATTCTGTATAGGGGATTGTTGAGAGGGCGATGCAAACCAGCAACTGAAATCAGCAGAGGTGTGCTAGCCCACAAGCAGTGTGATTACGAGTTGTGCCTCCACGAAAATACCTATCCACAACAGAATCTACTTCTTTTTTCAAACGCTTCGCATTCTCCTTAATAAGGGTATATCTTCCACTTCCTCTCCACGTGCGTAAAAAAGCAACCAATCAACGAAGCAAACGGTGCTACAAAAACTGCATCTGTTGGTTTTCGATGCCGGTCGTGCTTTCCAGTACGACGGAACGAATCATTACAACAACGTTTGGATTATTTATTGTTGTCAACCGAATTGCTGTGTTACAGCTGACTTCGTCTTGAAGCAACGTGGACTGAGCAACTGACCGACGAAGACACTTGAAGTTATGACACGCACAAACACCAAGGACCAACATTTTCGCGGGTTTCTCAACATCGGGCTCTTGTACACAATAGACAAGCACTCATTCATGTGTAGTCTCTCGCCATCCAATTCGACAATCTCCCCGTCTCTCGCGTCGCTATTGTTGTTTTTGCAGGTTGCCACCGACGAAGTCTGCCCTTTCCCTTTCATGCCCGATGTCCGCAGTGTTACCTCTTCGGCTCACAGCAGAGGGAATACAGAGTTTGAGGTATGACCAAGCGGTGGTCATTGATTTGAGCCTACGAATAGCGTAGGCGCCGGATTGGCTTGAAATGAAATTTGAAAGTTTGAATTTTGCTCGAGGAACACTGAATGAACACACGAATTTCCCACTACTACCTGTCTGCTCTCCACTTGAGGTACGAAAGAAGGCAGCGTTTATTTCGGAGGAGCGCTTGATGATGAACCACGAGGCTGACCTTCACTGGATCTGGTATGTCACTCTGCGACACGCGGGGTAGAGATTGAGCAGGCAGGCGAACCGGTGCTTGCTTCAAAAAATACGAACCATCTCAGCCAGATTGCCGAAGTATGTGTTGGTTAAATGAAGAATGCACAACATGCCATTGGCACCGTGTCAGTAAGGTCACCATAATACAGCGGGCACCAAAACAGCAGCCGTTACTGAACGACTTGTCCAGCCTCAATCAAATGCATACACAAGCCCATGACTTCACCGTTGTTCTGCCTCCAAGAGTATCCGTGAGTTCGTCGTAGAGAGCCTGAATCTCAGCCAACACGCCGCGAACGCCGTCTTCGTTGTAAGGCGGCAACCAATCGCTTCTTTTCAACTCTACAAGCAGATCTTTGCTTTTTGCGCCGAAGTTCATGGCTTGAGGTCACTGCGGTACGTCGCGTAGGTGCAATAAACACCGAATGGCGTGGACATGTGATGATCCTGGAGCAGCATGAGCACAACAGGGCAGACCATATTTATTTGGCAGTTGGGGGTATCCGTGAAATGCAGCGGTCGAGCGAGGGGGGGGGTCGCTGCTGCGGCTGCTCGGGCTGTTGTCATATTCTGCAGCACATGTAGTTCTTGTCAGTGCGGTACAGCCAGGAAACACGGAACATACACGAGTACGCACCAAGGGCTGGAGTCTTGAGCAATGTCGCTGAATAGCGTGGCATCGCACGATCCGTTCTACGCAGTGCGAGAGTGAGTCCAAACAACGAAAGTTACGCCGCGTTTCGTTTTGAGTGATACGGCGGCAACGGCAACGCTTCGAACTTCGAACGTTTTCATGGCAATTGAATGTGTGCATGTGCATGTTGCCTACGCTTACCTTGGAACGTTCTAGAAAAGAGGACTACCCTTGAAACAATCCTTCTATTTGATTATGTGCCTGTCGTTGGTTCGACTGCTGTTGTGCTTGGGGCAAACGGTTACCCTTAGCTGCGACTGCAATAGAACGAGTAGCTGCGTGATGCCGGAATTTGCTCGGAACACGCTATCGTCGTTGTCAGAACACTGACCACGCCGACCTCCACAGTCGTGCATGAAGTGCTCTACAGCAGCACAATATGCTCATAAAGCAGCACAACATGAAAGCTGACCGTTTGGTGTCGTGTGCAGGTTGCACAAACGCCGAGTCCGTACACGTCCGTTAACAACTGAACACACATCTCAGTAAACAGTATAAGCGGTTGTTCTTGCTCTTCGAGATTTGTACATGGCAATTTCGTGATCAACGGGCCCCCAGGACAGCAAGTTGGCTAGTTTTGAAAACATACGCAAGAGCACCAGAAACTGTACAACAGACACTCAGGACCAGTCGGAAGGCATCGCAAAAAACAGAAATCGTTGAAACCCGCACAGGGCGACAGTAGAGGCTGCCCAAAACATACATTTCACGCGGCTACCTTCGCACGCCACCTTTGAAATCAAGATAAAATTTCGCCCTATTCTAATTTCAAGTCATAAGGGCCTAAACAGCAGGCGTTCAAATAAGGTCTGCGTTGCCAGGAACGTGGTAATTAGTACTGTTATCGGTAGAGGACACCATGAAGAAGCTTGTGTGCTGGCACGTTCAGGTTTGCAACTGGAGCTGAAATATCGACGGTTGCAGCAGTCTTTGAAAACAGTCCGAAATCTGCGCCGGGACCAAGCGGCATCCAACACTTGTCACAGCCGTGCACACCGCCACGGACCGTTAACCCCTCAACAGAGGGTTGTCCGCAGTAGCTCGTGGCATGAGCTGCTGCTGTAAACGCACAGTTCAGGAGATTGGGGTCCGTGGCGGTGTGCACGGCTGTGACAACTGTGGGATGCCGCTTGGTTCCGGCGCAGATTTCGCACTGTTTTCAGAGGTTGCTGCGACCTTCGATATTTCAGCTCCAGTAGCAAACCTGAACGTGCCAGCACGCACGAAGCTTCTTCATGGTGCCCTCTACGGATAACAGTACTAATTACCAGGTTCCTCCTGCGGGAAGGTTGTTTTCTTTCTTATGTTGGATTAAAGTATAAGAAAAGAGCCAGCGTCAAAACCCATGTTCTGGGGGCCCTTTAATGTATCCGGCGGCACACCAGTAACGAAACCTGATTATCATGACGCAGGGCAACACCACGGTGCATTTCTTCGTGCCATCGCTCCACAGGAGTACCACACCTGATTTCGGTATGTTCAACCATAACGACCAGCCATGTGCTCGTTGCCAGAAAATTGAAGAACAACAGTCTCGAACATCAACGGGCCTTCAACATGAAAGAAGCAGATCATATTTCGGCACACCGGTCTGAAAGAAGTTGGTATTGCATGTAGTGAGTAATGGGATCCCTGTAGCAACATATGTTTATGCTGTTCTCAAGCATGGGGCCATCGCCGGACAATTGAGAACCGCTCTTAATCGTCAGCCTGCAGCTCGCAACCTTGAAAGTGTTGTGATGGTATGCATGCAGGGGTGGTAGGCTTGGTATCGGCGTACAACGCTACTCAGATAGTTACGGGGCAGGGGAGAGGAAAGGAAAACTTATAAATTCCCAACTGACCTTGATTTTGACTGGTTCGAGAACGACCGAAAGAGGTCTTAGCGATCACACACGAGATGCGAAGACAAGTTGGGGAGTGATCCATGAGTGGAATACCCCCGTTGTCGCCCGGAGCAGCGGTTGGGACTTGTCGTTTGTTTCCAGCATATCACGCAGTCTATCTCTCCACACCCTCTCTAAATTCAAGACAAACTCCACCACGAAAAGTTCAAGACAGAGCAGGCGACATACCGGGTGCTTTAAACGCGCTCTTGTGTTATGTAAAGACGTTATATGGGAAATCAGTAGAGGGCGGACATGCTGCCGTTGGCCGCTCAGATCTATTATTAGTTGCTGGGGCCGTGCTGTCGAAGGCTGCAACTGCGGCCCGAAGTGTCCGCAACTCCTGGTCCATACAATTCACAATCCACGCTTTACGCACCATCAACAAAGATCTAGTCCCTGAAACTGCTGCTCGTCCAAGGCGACTAGTGGGGTGAGCTACTACTGCTGTATCAGCTGCTGCAGGCTCTCGAACCTCACCACAAGACATCAGCGCAAAGCCGTATGTCAACTGACGGAAAGCCAGTGTATCCGTGATGAGGTGGAACTCATCCTTACTTGAAAAGAACCAAGATACGCAGCACGTTTTTTATCAGAATGCATGCGCAACGGTGACATCTTTTCGCCGTCCGGGGCTTGTACACACCGTTCCACGTTCATGTTTTTTCGTTGTGCGCCGCATACTCCACATTTCTTGTTGGTTGGTTGGTATTTGTGGTTACACATGCAATCGAGATAAATATAAAAAGCGGAGTATACGATTTGACCGGTGACTTTCGGGTGCACAATGTCCACCGCAGTCGTCCGTGTGACGCTGTGATGCGCATGGATGCCACGGGGCACTACGCCCCGTGTGTTGCGTACGCCCCCCCGCCGATCAATCTGCACAGCAACGCCCTGTTCGCTTCATAATGCAATCTCGTGCCTACATGTATTGCTCCTTGGAACATCAGTGAGGTTTCTGCAAAGATTGAGTACATCAAGGTTCGACTAGAGCGCTTTCAAGATCTGCTCAACAACACCAATACTGCCCAAAATCGCGACTTTCAAGATCTCAGAAAAGGTAGGTGTGCGGAGTGTGAGGTATGTGCGTGCGGGGACAATAACCAGTACGTATGTATCAAGGGTGCCTCGTGCTCTACTTGATTATTGGTCGTATCGTGCGAAACAGCGATGTGATACGCCAACCTATGTTTTGATGAGTTATTTCTATGCTTCCGTCTACCTATTGACGCTGCGGAGACATCGCGGCTATGTAGCCGCCGTAGCGGCTGACTACGATAGTCGTAGGCAGCAGCCAAACGACATGATGCAACTTATTCCGGTCGACGTCGTGCTGCTCTGGCAATGTTTGGGCAGCGATTTTCGTGGTCCGGTCGACTAGCATTGTCTCGTCGATCTGTCTAATGCTTGTGGTCCTTCGTGTCGCTTCCATGAACAAATTAGGGCTTACCAAGGAGGTCAAGGGGGCAGACGCCCAACTGAGAGATTTACGAAGGACTGTGGAATACGTGGAGAACAATCGGGATTCCTTTGCTCACATCGATAACGTGAGCTGTTCTGGTCTGAGAGCTATAAATTCGATCCTTTGTGTGGTGCCACGACATCCCATGAACACCCCCGGGTATGCATAGGAGTTTGATTGTAAGGCGGTGGCGAAAACTGTAAACGGACGAAGGCCTACTGCTGTGTATGTCATGCGCTCGATTCTGGCATTTTGTTTTACTTGTTTAGGTTTTGCCATCCGTCGCGTGCTGTGTGGGTGCATGGGTGAAGTCATGTAGCCCCGTCACCGCATCGTGCTGCAAAGCCTTCTATTGATTATATTTCCCTTGTGGCCACTCTTTGCATAGGGACGTGGTTGGTGGAAGCCCGTTCGCGTTCTGGATGATCGATGTATCCTGCGGTGCATGAATTCGTCACTGACATGCGGCTTGTTGTTTGTTGTTGGTTGTGGCAGGCTGAGCTATCTGAGCGAAAAACGTTCCTCTCCGACTCGAAACAAGTGTTACTCCGCGCCAGTGATGCGCTCGACGGGCAGCAAACCAAAGAGAAGATGGCACAAGACGACCGTTCGGTAAGTGACACCATGAACCCGACGATGTCGTCTACGTACCTTTTGTGCTTACTACACTAGCAACGAAACCTTACAGTCAACTCTTAAAGGTGACAAGTTTTCGTGTTCTCGTATTCTCCTCTGCTGGCCTTAGGAAATGGCGAAATACCGGAGCAAAGGAGATTTGGGGGCGCGAACAGAGGTTGAACGAGACGACACTGAGCATATTCTGGATCATCAGTCACGCGTTCGAGTAAGTTACTGTATGTTGGAGCAGGTGGTTGTAGCATAAAGCAACCATGCGGAAGCATGCGACCCGTGACCTAAGTAAGCGTGGGCCTTGATCGATAGTCGCAACGGTCCTCATGACTCGATGGCGTGGAGCCTACCCCGATGGGAATTATTTCGGGGAAGACGTGCTTCCGTTGTGGCCAAGTTCCGAGTGATTCCGTTATAACTTTTACCCAGACCTAACGCGTATTGTATATTTTCTCGATTTGAGAGCAACGGAAGGCTCACCTTAGACCACTTTCAGTTGTGATGACATAGCAGTTGTCCGTCTCAAAGCAACGCTACGTCGAAGTACCTTCGGATAAACATGAGACGTTTGAGACTTCCTGCTGATTGGCAACCACCGATCTATGTGAGGTGTATCAGATGGACAAAGGTCCTTGTCAGCGGCGCAACAATAATAACAATCGTTGTCCCGAACGAGTGCAACAGACGGGTTTCTTTGAGACGTTTGATTTTTAATGGAGCTACGGAAGACTCGCAGGCAACAATATGCTCGACACTGGCTGAGTGCGTCGC